TTCTTCTGTCCTCCACTGTGTTACACATGTGGCCACCATGTTCTGCAGGAGGCTTCTGAGTCCCAAATATGTGGTGTGCTGTCAGGGCAAAACGCTCTTTGGATTTTGAAAATTTAACACAAGAAAATGTCAAATATCTCAGGAGTGTTGTTAGGATGTTTTCGATCTGTTGGGTTAAATAATATATGTTATTAAAATTAATTCACCTGGCCCGGCACCTATAGCTCAATCGGCTAAGGCGCCAGCCACGTACACCTAAGGTGGCGGGTTCGAATCCCCAGCCCGGACCTGCCAAACAACAATGACGGCTGCAACCAAAAAATAGCCGGGCGTTGTGGCGGGCGCCTGTGGTCCCAGCTACTTGGGAGGCGGAGGCAAGAGACTCGCTTGAGCCCAGGAGTTGGAGGTTGCTGTGAGCTGTAATGCCACGGCACTCTACCCAGGGGGACAGCTTGAGGCTCTGTCTCAAAAAAAAAAAAAAAAAAAAAAAAAAAATTAATTCACCTGTTTCCTTTTATGTCTTTTAATGTGACTACTGGAAAGTCTAAAATGGTGCATGGCCAGTGGTAATTGTGTTCTGTGACAAAGTCTGAGCTTGCAGCGCCACCTGCTGACTGTCAAGGACAGGCACGGGTGTGCATGAGGGTTGGGCATTCTGAGCTGGGGAACACTTGTCTCTGGCCTGGCAAGGCACAACCTTTTTCCAGAGGCTTCAGAGGTAGGACCAGAAGGGCACCCAAAGCCTTAGGAAGGAAAGTGTCCAACTGCTCGGAGGGGTTCGCCCCCACCTGTTGCCCTAGGGGCCTTTACTTGCACTCCATTTCACTGGTTATGATCCTTTTCTCAAGAAATATTTCAGACAGCCATAGGTTGTTGCCAGGCATTTTATGATACGGGGATGATACAGACCCAGCCTCAAGAGACAGACATCTTCTCTTTGGATAATGCCTTATTTGCCCAAGTTTGTCATGACTTTGAAAGTAGAATTTTGCTCATAAGCTACCTGCATCAATTTTCTATTTTTGCACAATAAATAACTTAATGTCTTAAGACAGTGATGATTTAACATCTCTCACAGTTTCTGTGAGAAATGTGTGAGTCAGAAATTCAGGAGGGCCCCTCAGAACAGTTCTGTTCCAGATCTCTCATGAGGTTGAAGTCAGGTGTTGGCTAGGGCTGCCTCATCTGAAGGTTTTTTGTTTTTTGTTTTGTGACAGAGTCTCACACTATTGCCCTGGGTAGAGTGCAATGGGATCATACTCACAGCAACCTTAAACTCTGGAGCTCAAGCCATCCTCTTGTCTCAGCCTCCTAAATAGCTGGGACTATCACAGCTATTCCTAAATAGCTGGGACTACCACCTGCCACGATGCCAAACTAATTTTGAGGGGTTTTTTTAATTTATTATTTTTTTAAGTAGAAATAAGGTCTCACTCTCACTTAGGCTTGTCTGGAACTCCTGAGCTCAAGCAGTCCACCTGCCTTGGCCTCCCACAGTGCCAGGATTACAGTTGTGAGCCCCCAGGCCTGGCCTCATCCGCGAAGGTCTGACTAAGGCTTTTCCAACGTGCTCATTCACGTGACTGGCAAGGTGATGCTGGTCATCTGCTACAGACACCAGCTTCTCTCCACAGAGCTGTTTGAGGGTCTAGTCACTGCAGTTGGTTCCCTTCTAAGAGGCCTCAGGGAAAGCTGCAGTGTCTTTTATGACCGAGCCTCAGAATTTATAAACTGCACCCTTACTTCCACTCCATTCTCTTGATCAAAGGACGGGAAAATGCATTCCACCTCTCAGTAAAGGAATGTCAACATTACACTGCAAAAGAAAGATGAAGTGGGACGGCCACCTGTTCTGGAAAATCAGCCGAAGTGCCAAACACTTACATAGCACTATATAACAATAACAAAATGCCCCATTTTCTCAGATGAGGAAATTAAGGCTCAGAAACATAGAATAACTTGCCTGAGGCTCGGTGCCTATGGCTCAAGCGGCTAGGGCACCAGCCACGTACACCTAAGGTGGCGGGTTCGAATCCAGCCCGGGCCCACCAAACAACAATGATGGCTGCAACCAAAAAATAGCCGGGTGTTGTGGTGGGCGCCTGTGGTCCCAGCTACTTGGGAGGTGGAGGCAGGAGACTTGCTTGAGCCCAGGAGTTGGAGGTTGCTGTGAGCTGTGATGCCATAGCACTTTATCCAGGGCGACAGCTTGAGGCTCTGTCTCAAAATAAAAAAAAATTTTAAAAAAAGAATAACTTGCCTGAGATCTCATGTCTAGTGAGAAGGAAGGAAGCCCAGCTCTGACTCCTAGTCCATGCTGGTACAGCCTGGCCAAGCTATCTCCTCATTTCTCCCTTCTGCTGTTGTAACTAAGAATCCCACTGATATTTTCATTGTTCTAGCACCCTCAAGATATGTGGGGTTCTCTCTATTCAAGTGCTTTAGATAAGTCCTTAGATATTTTTCTCCCTATCACTTGTCAATTTATTGAGTTAGGCTACGAATCTTATGAAAGTGTTGTGCCCAGGAGTTCCTCAAAGACCATGCTGCTACACAAGCCGAATTCACAGCAAAGTCCCTTTATTGAAGAGCAGCCAGCGATTGCCTCAGTCTCCCAACATGGGGTTTCTGGAGCAGCCCCGAGTGCTGAAGGGGTTGGGTTTTCAAGGCCTGGTCTGCATCCTGGTTGGCACACAGGCTGTCTGGGTGCATCCAGGTTGGATAGCAAACATTGTACAGAAGCAGAATTGTGCAGTTAGTCATATGTCATTCATCTTTGTTTTAATATTTTCTTCTATACATCTTAGTTTCAGTACTTTCCCTCCATTCATCTTAGTTTCAGTACTTTCCCTCCATTTATCTTAGTTTCAGTACTTTCTCTCCATACATCTTAGTTTCAGTACTTTCCCTCCATTCATCTTAGTTTCAGTACTTTCTCTCCATACATCTTAGTTTCAGTACTTTCCCTCCATACATCTTAGTTTCAGTACTTTCTCGCCATACATCTTAGGGTTTTTGGGTTTTTTTTGAGGATTTTTTTTAATTTCTTATAGCATAACTATGTACATTAATGCAATCATGGGGTACAGTGTGCTGTTTCGTATACATTTTGAAATACTCTCATCAAACTGGTTAACATAACCTTCATATCATTTTCTTAGTCATTAAGTTAAGACATTCATACTCTGCCTTTAGAAAGATTCACTTGTACCCTTGTAAGATGAACTATATAGGTGACCCTGCCAATCCCCTCCCTCCCCCCATCTACCCCCTCACCTCCCCTCCCCCACCCCCTTCCCATATTCTAAGGCTATAATTTGGTTATGACATTCCTATAAAAGCTATGAATTAGTTTCAAAATAGGGCTGTGTACATTGGATACTTTTTCTTCCATTACTTTACTGAGAAGAACATTTTCTAATTCCAGCCATATAAACATGAAGGAGGTAAAGTCTCCGTCTTTCTTTAGGGCTGCATAGTATTCCAGGGTGTACATATACCACAATTTATTGATCCATTTGTGGGTCGATGGGCATTTGGGCTTCTTCCATGACCTAGCAATTATGAATCGGGCTGCAATAAACATTCTGATACAAATATCTTTTTTGTAATTCGATTTTCGGTCTTCTGGATATATACCTAATAAAGGAATTGCAGGATCACATGGCAGGTCTATTTTTAGTTCTCTCAGCATTCTCCAGATGTCTTTCCAAAAGACATTTTACATTCCCACCAGCTGTGTAGAAGTGTTCCCTTTTCTCCACATCCACGCCAACATCTCTGGTTTTGGGATTTTGTGATACGGGCTAATCTTACTGGGGTTAGGTGGTACCTCAAGGTAGTTTTGATTTGCATTTCTCTGATGATTAAGGATGATGAGCATTTTTTCATATGTCCGTAGGCCATGCGCCTATCTTCTTTAGAGAAATTTCTATTCAAGTCCCTTGCCCACCCTGAGATGGGATCACTTGTTTTTTTCTTGCTAATACATTTGAGTTCTCTGTGGATTCTGGTTATTAAACCTTTGTCAGAGACATAACCAGCAAATATCTTCTCCCATTCTGATGGCTGTCTACCTCCTTTATTTACTGTGTTCTTGGCTGTGCAGGAACGTTTTAGTTTGATCTGGTCCCAATAGTGTATTTTTGACATTGCTTCTATTGCCTGAGGGGTCCTCCTCATAAAATTTTCGCCCAAGCCAATTTCTTCAAGTGTTTTCCCTATGCTTTCTTCTAGTATTTTCATAGTTTCGTGTCTTAAGTTTAAATCTTTAATCCAGTTAGAGTCTATCTTAGTTAACGGTGAAAGGTGTGGGTCTAGTTTTGGTCTTCTACAGCACGCCATCCAGTTAGCCCAGCACCATTTGTTAAATAGGGAATCTTTTCCATACATCTTAGTTTTAGTACTTTTCCCACCTACTATTGTTCAAAAGTCAGTCCAGGAACAGTTGGTACCTCCCAGTCTGTTTCCCAGGGAGTTAGCCAAACAAGAAATTTGGAGTGAACTAGAAACAAGAAATTAATTAGTATATTCCCATCTATCTTGGGAGTGAACTACACTTATTTCAATTTTTTTTTTGAAAGTTTACAGTCCAGAAATTTGCCAGGAGTTAGCTGGTATTTTTCCATCATATCCTAGGTCTGACACCTTTCTGCCTCCAAGCCAAAGTAGTTTGCAACTAACTATAGAGTTCTTGCAAAAAGTGCTATAGCAATGGAAAATGACACATTTTCAGTATTTTTCACACCTTCTACTTCTTCAAAAATTTCAGGAGGAAGCACATAACGTTTGTGTGCTCTTAATTCTGCTTGATTATCCACCTATCATATCTTATTTGTACTTGAACAGGAAAGAACTAATTACTACTTTGCTTTCAGTAGTTTCCCTATTACTTGGTCATCTTGAAAAGGAGGTTTTTAACCATTTTTTGATGTTTAACCTGCCGTAATTAAAACTAAAATCCAGTTGCCATAATCATCTTCTGTAATTCTTGGTTTCAGGTCAAACTTCCTTTTCCTGTAGATCAGATCACAGATCTCCCAAGGAATGATTTCCAGATGATGATTAAGATGCACAAGCTGACCTCAGAGCAGTTGGAGTTCATCCACGACGTCCGGCGGCGCAGCAAGAACCGCATTGCGGCCCAGCGCTGCCGCAAGAGGAAACTGGACTGCATTCAGAACCTGGAGTGTGAAATCCGCAAGTTGGTGAGTGGGGACCAGCAGGCCGGAGTGACCAGAACTGATGAAAAGTTGCAGCCGTGAAGGCTGGAGAAGGAGAGAGAAGGGCCACCCTTCAGGGAAGTTTGGGATCATTTGTAAACAAACTTCTCAACAGAAATAATAGCTTTACATCTGCAGCGAGTGTGTGCAATATTGTATAGCCTTCAGCCATTCTATAAAAGTATCTCTTAGTAGTAAGGGCTGATGTGTATTTCCTGCATCCAGGGGCGGGTAGTCTTCTAAACTGTTTTTGTAGACTCACATTTAATCCTCATAGCCCTGTGAGTTAGGTACTGTTGCTGTTGGCCAAATACAGTAAAACATCTCAGCTGCCATGTCTGCATCAGGGTGAAGAAGAGGGAGGCCTGTAGTATGGTCATGACCTATGTCTGGGTCCTCAGACGATTTGCAGCTATCCTTTGCTTCATGGAAAGCCACCATCCCGCTGAGAACCTAAGGGCAGAGGTGAGATATGTGAGGAGCACAGGAAATGGTGTATGTTATCAAGGTAGCCCTGGACTTCACGGTCTTTTTTTTTTTTTCCACTTAACACCCAGCAAGCCTAGGAAATCTACCTATGTGTAAGAGCTCCCAGCAGTGTGGAGCCCGAGCTCCCAGCAGTGTGGAGCCCGAGCTCCTTGGCTAGACATCGCGCCTCCATGGCTCAGTCTGTAGCTGCTCCTCCAGCATCTCGGCCGTCCCTTCCAAGACTCAGCCCCTGATCATACCCAGCTGCCCGCAGTTCCTGCACCTCTGCTGCTGGCCTGCACCTCCCTGGGACAATCCTCAGCTGTCTCTGACTCTCTCGTTCCTTAAGAGTCAGATCATGAATCATATCTCCAGGAAACCATTCCCAAGTTCCCAGTTAGGCAAGTCACCTGCCCTTGGAAGCCCAACCTGCCCTCTGGTCCTGGACTGCAGGTTCCTTAGGGACAAGGACAGCATCCCAATCATCTGAATCCCCAGTATCAGGACCGTTGTTGGCTCTCGGGAAATGCTGATTGCCTTAGAACCTTACTAGGAATTATGGCTGTTCAGATATGGGTATTATGAATTTCTTCTTTAAAATTTTTCTTTAATGTTGTCTCAAGAACAAGAAAATGTAACTTAAACCACAAAGGGAAACAAGACATTCCTGCTGGTGAGCATGGGTCCTCAACAGCACCACCAAGTTCTCGTGCACTGTCGGCCAGCCCCCTAGATAGCGTGCTGTGTGCTTCTGGGGTGTAGAGCTTCCTGCCTTTCCTGCAGGGAGCCAAGACACTGCATGGGCCATAATGTATTTCTGTCGAGCTGCCCTGGATGTGAGAAGACGGGGTCTCTCCCGTGTCTGTGGGAATTCTCACCCTGCTCCTCTTCAAGTAGTAGAGTAATTGTCATCACCCATATTTGAGAAATGCCTGGTTTTGGTAATTAGCATTCAGCTTGGTGTAATTTTTAATATTAACCAAATAAAACCTAAGCCACTGGCTCGGCGCCTGTGGCTCAAGCAGCTAAGGCACCAGCCACATACACCTGAGCTGGTGGGTTCAAATCTAGCCTGGGGCCACCAAACAACAATGATGGCTGCAACCAAAAAATAGCCAGGCATTGTGGCAGGCACCTGTAGTCCCAGCTACTTGGGAGGCAGAGGCAGGAGACTAACTTGAACCCAGGAGTTGGAGGGTGCTGTGAGCTGTGATGCCATGGCACTCTACCCAGGGTAACAGCTTGAGGCTCTGTCTCAAAAAAAAAAAAAAAAACAAAAAACCTAAGCCACTCACCAGGCAGCTACTATGAATCTGAAGAAGTGCTTTTGCTGGTATTCAACTGATAGACCAAGAGGGCACCGCCAAGTTCTCTGAGCACTGTCCGCCAGCCCCCTAGATGGCTTAGGGGCTGTGTGCTTGTGTACTTCTGGGCTTAGAGCTTCCTGCCTTTCCTGCTGTCCCACATGGCCCCTCGTTTCCTCCCCCCAAGAAAGTGGCCTGGGGCATTTTGCTGATGCATAGGTGGGGAGGCCAGCACTGTGGCCAAGAGGATGTGGCTGAACTGTGCCTGGGGTCCCAGTCCGAGTCACACAGCTGCATAGGCAAGATTTCTCTTCCCAGGCAGACCTCCCAGATGTGTTTTTCTTCTTACCCATCACCTTGAAGCAGGGGTGCTGTGCGCACTTGCCTGGTCTGAGGGGCAGGAACTGTGCTGGCAGGGGCAGCCCAGACTCCCTCCCCACTTGCATCTCCCACACACCTGCCGTCAGCTGCTGCACCCTTGCATTATGTATTTCTCTCGAGCTGCACTTGTACATCTGTTTATTTTTCATTTTTAAAACATGTTTTCTTGATAAATTTATAAATATTTTAGCAGGTGCCCTTTCCCTGTGTAAAGCTCTCTCCAACAGACTTGCCTGCCTGCCAGGCTTCATCCCTATAGGCAAGTGTGACTCCCTTGTAGGACACCAGTCCCTGGGGCGTATCACACACTCTCCCCTCTCTCCCCCTCCCTCCTCTCCTCCTTCCTCTGTTGATGGTGAGCTTTAGTCACCGCCCCCCCCCCCAGCAGAAGTCATGTCCCGTGGGGCAGGGAACCTTAGAAACACAGAGCCCAGATGGGATTTGCCTTCAGGGGAACAGAAGCACAGAGGGCTGAGACTCCAGCTTCCTTCTCCTCTTGCCCATCAAGGGAGAGTTGTTGCTCAAGGTCACCACACACCCCAGCTGTCCCGGGGAGGCCCCTCATGTTCCTGCTGCTCAAGGTCACCACACACCCCAGCTGTCCTGGGGAGGCCCCTCATGTTCTGTCCCATTGCCAGCAGGCCTGCTGCTACTAGGATGAACCACGTGAAATTGCTGATGATCAACGGTTTTTGTTTAATTTTTTAACAGAAATTCACTTGTTTAGGAGCAGTTTTAGGTTCACAGCAAAGATGAACAGGGGACCCCACACGCAGCCACCCCGACTATCTGCCCCTGCCCGAGTGGCACGTTTGTTGGAATTAGCGAGCCTCATCGTCACCCAGAGCCCAGAGTCAGGGATCACTCTTGCTGCTGGACAGTCTGTGGGCTTGGACAAATGCGTGATGACGTGGGCCTACCAGTGTGGTGTCACACAGAGCAGTGTCACTGCCCCAGACCTCAGTGCTCAGCCTGCTCACCCCTCACCCCATGCACCTGTCAGCCACTCATCTTCCTACTGTCCCCATGGTTTTGCCTTTTTAGAACGTCACATTGTTGGAATTGCCTCATCTTACCCTTTAAAAGTGTCAACCTGCTACATTCAGGGGAGATTTTTCAACCATAAAATTTGGGACTTGGATTGTCCTGGTTAATTCTTTATAAACTCCAAATTCCAGGAAACCAGAACATTAACTCCCTGAGGTTTTCTGGTGGGTGGTGAATTGCCGGTCACTTGCCTGGGCCTCAGAGGGAGGAGGAGATGTCAGCAGCTCATCGGGATGGGTAGCTCAGTGGGAGGTGGGACAGGAGCATCTGTCCAGGTTCTGTGGACGGCTGCCTTTCACATGTCTAGATCCTGGCCTCGTCATTCGCGAGTTACATTTTAATGCAGGATATAGAAGCAAGGCCGTGTCCTCCACTGCGGGCTTGACAGAACCTTCTCTCTCCTCTGTGGTCCAGGTGTGTGAGAAGGAGAAGCTGCTATCGGAGAGGAACCAACTGAAGGCGTGCATGGGGGAGCTGCTGGACAACTTCTCCTGCCTCTCCCAGGAAGTCTGCCGGGACATTCAGAGTCCCGAGCAGATCCAGGCCCTGCATCGGTACTGCCCGGTCCTCAGACCCATGGACCTCCCCACAGCCTCCAGTATTAACCCTGCACCGCTGGGTGTCGAGCAGAACCTTGCAGCCTCCCAGTGTACAGTGGGGGAAAGTGTGCCCTGCTGCTTGGAGCCTGGCACGGCTCCCCCGGGCCCCCCTTGGGCACCCACTAACGCCTCTGAGAATTGTACCTCTGGGAGGAGGCTGGACGGCACTGACCCGGGAGCCTTCTCAGAGAGAGGACCTCCTCTTGAACCCAGGAGCCAAACGGTAACCGTGGACTTCTGCCAGGAAATGACTGATAAGTGCACAACTGACGAGCAGCCCAGGAAAGATTTCACCTAGTGACTGGGGTCTGCCTACCCATCCTCACGCGCTCCTGCGCAGGTGTCCTTCAGCCAGCCTGTGGCACTGCTCATCTGCTGTCCTGAAGAACCAAGACACCATTTGGTGCACACTACAGTGGTCTTAGCAATACTGTTGCGGAGTATGCCCTCCTCGTTCAGGCAGGAGTCGTAGATAGTTACCTTCACAATGGTGCTACCCCTGCTCAGGCAGGGAAGATGACGGTGACGACACTGTCTGTTTGTGGCTTAATTCAGTCTTCACAGGGATGGACTACAACACCTCTAGGACCCAACCACGGATTTTTTTTCTCAGTGGCCCATGTCACAAACCCTATCTCAGGAATTTCTTCTGAATGTTCAATTTTTTCATTGAAGACAGCTTCTATACACATCAAAGTTTTATAGCTAGACTGTACATAGTATATATAATATATATAAAATATATATATATCCATATGCAAAAGTCCTGCATGCCTCAATTTTCTCATCTTAAAACTGGAAACTTCCTTTTTCATTTATCAACAGGCTCCAACATTCCTCCTCTTTTGTCTGTGAGGCTAGAACTAGTTTGGTAACTGGTAACATGGTCATTTTTCTCACTTCAAAGTTCAATTCGATTGTTCTTATTTATGGACAAAATTCAACATTGGAAGCTTTTTTTCAAGGTTTTATTTCAGACCTTTTTTTTGTTTGGTTTGGTTTTGGCCCCACCAAATGGTGTCATTTGAGCATTGTGGATTTGTTTTCCAGTTTGGGGTTGTTGTTGGGTTGTTGTTTTTTTTCTTGCAGATACTGTACAGTGATGGTCAGCTTTGCCACTTGCACTGAGTTGGGGTCAAACCTATTTTCCTAAATGAAGTTGTAACTTCAGTATAACTCAAGTATACTGTATATTCTTTGCTTTTAGTTAAAAAGTAAAACATTTTAGCTAATTAAAAAGCACTCAGGTGATAATTATGTAGGAAAAACAATCTTGCCAAATAATGAATTTATCCTAGGATGTGTGGAGAATAATCTGCTTGAATATTTTTCTATCTCACCTTCTCCCCACCTCTCCCTAAGCCAAGTCTAAATGCAGATAGAGAGTTTTGCGTTGATGCTGGATGTTCAGATTCCTAAGTGGGGAGAGAGTTTGGACATCTCACTCAAAAGAACATCAGAACAGCAGGAATCCATGCTTTCAGACCAGAACTCAGCAGGCATTGCTCCTAGAAATCTAGATAGAACTGTTTTCTCACCCAGGGAGTAAGTCCCATCCACCTCGACACTTCATCAGGCCTCCGCCTGCTCTTAAAAGTGTCGTACAGCAGGACCTTCACCTCTGAAGGACGTGGCTCGCCAGCCACCCTGCTCTCCTACCCAGGATCGACCTCCCAGGACATCTTGCCTGAGGGGACATGAATCGCTGCCCCAAGGGCCCTGCCTTTAGGTGGCAATGTCCTGGTTAGTGCAGCGCACCCTGGGAGGAGCAAGCCAGGCGGACTCAAGCCTGAGGTCCAACCTGCCCACAGGCTGACACATTTCTTTCTCCTTTCCTTCCCCTAATGCTTTCAGTTGTATTCTGAGGTTCTTCTGCCATTTTCCTGTCTGAAGGCAGACTTCATTCTGAGGCTTTGGACATCAGCAGGAGCCCTCCCTGTACCCTTCCCCAGTCGCACACCCACCCCACCCTCACTTGATGATAATTTTCTTCTCTCTTGCTGCAAAACTGGTTGGCTTACAACCCAGAGAGAGCAGCGTCCCTTGGCTCTGGGGCATGTCGGCCCCTGGGCACGTTTACAGGAAGCTGTGCCCCCAGGAGGAGGAATCAGCTCCCTCCCTCCCATGGTCTCGGGCCTCCCTCTGTCTCAGCACTGAGCAACCCACAGGCCACTCCAGCCTGGCTGGGGAAGAGAATCCTGAGCAGTTTGATGTGGGGATGGGGTGGTGGGCAGTGGGGAATAGATGGTTGACTTTGTTTCTTTATTTGTGCCATTGTTTGGACAATATTAAAGCTGCATGTAAAAGGGGAAATTAGTATATGAAGTAGGCAAAAAGTGAAATCATAGTAACATGTTTTAGTATTATTAACTTTTTTCTGTACAAATATTAGCGCTAAATGTTTAAATATGTATGAATGCCAGAAATTTGTTGGTTCATGCAGTAGGACATGAAAAAAAGACTTTTCTTTTAAAATGGTTCCACTTTTAAAACCTGCCTCTGGGTTTTTGTTTTTTCCCGTGTGTGTGTGTGTGTGTGTGTGTGTGTGTGTGTGTACGTGTGTGAGAGACAGTTGTTGGAATTTCTCGGCCTAGTAGAACAGTTCTGTGCTTCACCATGATGTTTGCCTTTGTGGAAACAGGTGACAGCTAGAATTCAAACTCAGTGTAAACCCCGGGACGCTTCACAGGTGTGTGCTGTGGTAGAGTCGTCCGCGGACAGTATTTTGTTTTTTTAACTTTGTTGCCTTTTAAATGACCTCTCCTTTTAAAAAAAGAAATTATTTCCGCTCACATCCTAACCAGGGCCAAGCCAGCTTCCGGGCGTGAGTTACCTGGTGACAGCTCATGGGCCACATTTGATCCCTGTCCCCAGGCTTCTGTGGTCCCACAGCCTGCACCTTTGAGGCACCCAGGAGGGGTGGGGTCTCTTTATTCCCCCTCACTTGGCCCTCCTCATCCTACCAACCCCCGCCATAGGAACTGGTTAAAGACGCTGCTCTAGAAACTGTCTTTCACTTTCTTAGGGGTTTTAACATGTTATTTCACTCATGAACCACCATGAACAGCGACTCGCTGTACGCAGCTCTGTTCATGTGACATGTGTGTGTCTCTTACTGTTTTGAGCATGTGCTTGTCAGAATTATTTCTGGGTTAATTCAAAAGGAGGACTTGCTGGGGACCAGACTCCAAACCACCTCAAGTAGAATTTAGAAACCTGTCTTCCTGCCCTGAGACTCTGTGGTCAGCCCTATGTCTTTTATGAACAGCAAGTGAACAGCAAGGACTAGTGTTTGCCCAGTTTGGTGATGTTTGTGTTCTTAGAAAGATAAAGGACCCTGCAACCATGGACTGTTGAGGAGGACCCTGGTTGCAGCTAACCTGAGGCTGACCAGCACCCACCCTAGTCCAGTGCCCCACTTGTGTCTCCAGACAATCTCCCTTTGTCCCAATTGGTCAGGCTTTGGGCAGGTGAGGACTTTACTAGATATGTTTGTTTCTCTGCATTATTTGGGGGTTGCCTTGAATAAAATTGAACTTCATCATATACTGATTCTGGAACAAAATAGTTACAAAAACATTTTAAAGGAAAAAAAAGAGCTGGCAAAATTACAAGGCCACCTGCTGTTTCTCTTGTGAGTTCCCTGAGATGGCTGGAGCATCAGAGGCGGTGATGCAGCAGGAACCTTATTTTGTATGTTGTAATTTATTAAAGGTTTGCTGCTTTTAAGATGAATTACAATTTTGGATGTAATCCTTGCATTGCTTTTCCATGGACATTTTTTTTAAAGGCCTAATGATCAGTATGCTGCCTGCCACTGCCCCTTCCAGAGGATCCTGGGGCTGGGCGCTAGAATCCTGGCTGATGCTGAGTGTCCACCACACGAAGCTTCATGCTGTTGTTAAGAGGCCTGAGCCCACACTTTTAATATTTTATGGTTGCTATTAAAGAAACAAACATTTGAATACAAATAAGCCTTCTAAAAAACTAAAAAACCTTGCCCCAGGAAGCTACTCTAGATCTTATGGGAGTAGCACAGTCCTCAAAATGAGTAAAAGCCACCCACAAAGTTTCTCAAATGCTATACCCCATTTAAAGTAGGAGGCGACGTGAAACTGCTCCTCTGTTGCTTACAATTCAGGAGTCTGAGATCTAGAAGGGACCAAGAATCAGGTTTGGTCCTCAAATCACTGTAAATAGACTGAAGAACAAAGTTGTTCACTCTGTCATGAGTTCATATTTCTTCCTAAAATTGACATTTTTGTTGTAAGTTCAATTTCTGGCAAGTCAGCCCACAAAACAATGCCCTGTTTGGAGTTGGGAAGTGTGTGTGCATGGAGGCATTCTGTGTTCAAAGTGTACGTTGATAATACTGCCCGAGCTGTCCCATGACCCAAGCATCAAAGACTGATGCTATAGAATAGAATTTATTTGTACACAAATAGTGTGTGCAAATAGTGTTTGTACATAGCAAAGACTTACTGTGGCAGATCAAGGATAAGTTATTCAACAGACGGTGCAACATTACTTGCAAATAAAAGTTAAGTTTATATTTTCCTATGCTCCATCCTGGGAGATGATATTTATATCAAATTAATATCAGTGCATTTTAATTGAAAGAGGAAAATGATGCTGCCGTTTTGTGACGAGTTCCCACTTGGCTGGAGAGGCCGACTTTCGTAGCTTTGATTTAATGTTGTGACATAGTGTCTGCGTTTTGCTGTCAAGCAATGGATAAACAGTTCGGACTTCCATTTTCATTCCAGTTTATTGACCTCAGATAAAAACACTGGCCCTTCTTGGAAGCAGAAGTGCACAAAGACCATTCATTTCAGGTAGACTCGAGTCCAGTGCCAAGTGCTCCTGTGGGGATAGTCAGACACATGTGTTGGGAAAGAGCAAAGGGACTTGGACAGAGCCGGGTTTGCCTGAAGACGGACGCTAAGTCTTCTACCAAAACCTGTCTGGAAGCAGAGGGGCCTCCGCCTCGCTCGAGTCCTCATAGTGCTTTTTGCACACATGAGTGCTGGGATGCCCATTCGCTCTGACATCAAAGACTCGGCACTTCTAGTGAGTAATCGGGAAGATTCCATGTGCGTTTGGGAGCTTCGAGTGCTTGTTAGATGCAGGGACCATGAAGGCAAGCGCCATCTTTGTTTGTGAGGCCAAGAGGGCCCATGAGAACTTGTTCCAGAACCAGTCTGATGCAAGTGCACCTCTAATATTTGCCTTACAGACTCCAGAGGCCATATTCAAAACAGGGTCTTCTCAGTGTATGCAAGGGGCCTCAGCCCCCCTCGCTTCCTCCCCAGGTCGAATAATACGGACAGTTTCACACATATCTACCTGTATAACCCTCTGTACCTCTCATAACTGGTCAACGACTGTAACAGGTTACATCAGGTGTTTTTCTACATACTTTTTACACAGATTCTATGCGAATAATATAACTTAATTCAATGCATCATTTTATTGTACTAGTTCTTAGGCTTGTCCTTATTTTTTTTCTAAGTGACTGTGGTTTTTCTTGTGGTTTCTATTGTAAAGATAAAAGGCTGTTGATGCTTATTCTCTGTAACTAAGAATTTTTACCTTTGGGAGGAAAAAAGCATTGCTATGAACTAATGAATTTAAACTTCACTTATTGTAAATACACTATTGTGCAAAAACAAATTTTCACTCAATTGAATTGCTAGTGTTAAATGAATTTTGTCTAGACACCATTTCTGTTGATGAAATAAAGACACATCATATGCATTGTAAACTGATTTCTCTGCCTCCCATTCCTGTGCCCCAGACTACAGAGTAGGAAGCCTCAGGAAAGCTTTTGGCCCAAGAGGCCATTTCTCTCCCAGTAGTTTGGACCCTTGCCTACTACCTGATTCTCCTGGTTAGAAAGCTTTAAAACTTGATGATGCTAATGTGATTCTTAATATCTGAATTTAGAACATCCGTAGGGCCGTGAGAGTAGATAAAAGGCACCGAGCCCAGGGTCTTGGTTTTGCCAACATGCCCTTGCTATGCCCAGCACCACCAGGGACTCAGCTGAGACATATTTCTTACAACTGCCCGTGATCCACAATTATATCAAAATATAATAAAAGGTTTGGTTTTTTTTAAACCTAAATGAAAGCAAATGGAGAAAAAGGCATTAAACCAACATCAAGATGCAGGGAAAGGAGTTTGGAATTGTGAATGTGCCACTTACCACCAAGAGCACAGTCTGAGAGACACATCTGGCAACCGTGTGCTCGTGCAGACATCACAGTGTACACAAACCTAGACAGTGTGACCTGCCACACACCTGGGCTGCAAACCTGTACAACACATTATTGTACTGAATGCTGTTAAGAAATTACAACACAGTGGTAAGTATTAGTGTACCTATTTTTTTTTTTTTGAGACAGTCTCACTCTGGCACCCCAGGTAGAGTGCCGTGCTGTCACAGCTCACAGCAACCTCAAACTCCTGGGTTCAAGTGATCCTCTCACCTAAGCCTCCCAAGTAACTGGGGCTATAGGTGCCCACAATACCCGGGGCAGTTTTTCTGTTTTTTAGTAGAGACAGGGTCTCACTCTGACCCAGGCTGGTCTCGAACTCCTGAGCTCATGGAATCCACCCACCTTGGCCTCTCAGAGTTCTAGGATCATAGGCATGAGCCACTGTGCCCGGCCAAGTATTAGTGTACCTAAAGATAGAACA